CTTGATCGTCATTTCCCTTACGTATTTACAAACTAAGAAGCGAGAAGGCGATGCAGCAAACAATAGCACCACGAAACGGTGGACTTCACAAGGCAGAGGAATCGCCATGTCAGCGGGGTCGAGGAATCGCCACGTCAGCGGGGTCGAGGAATCGCCACGTCAGCGGGGTCGAGGAAGCAGCAGCCGCCGCATGCATTCAAACTTCATTCCACGACGCGGCCATCTATCTATCTGTCCATCTACCTACCATCCATCCATCTGTCGATTGGCGCGTACTTGACCCGCAAGCACTCTCCATGACGTCACTTAAGACACCTCCTGATGCCGCAATTCCGTGCCAAACGTATTTTCGCCGCTGTAGGTTATGTACAAGAACCCGTCATCGTCCTTGTGATCCTCGTAAATGCCAGACATTAAGGCAGCCGTCGGCGGAAGAACGTTCTCGACGAATATAAAGATCGCTTTCTCGGGACTCAACTTGATGCGTTTCCTTATGACATATACAAACTGCCCCACCGTCAAATCAGCCGGGACCAAGTACTTTTTCTTGTCAATGTCTGGAATATCACTCTTTTCCGCTTTTTCAACAATAACAGGTATTCTGTCGGGATACTTCTCTCGGATCCGCGCTGCCTCCGCTTGCCTCTTTTCTAATGCGTGTTCTTGCTTAAATGAGCTTTTCGCCATCTTCGTGAGGACCTATTCACCGCTCCACGTCAGCTGATTGCAATTACTTGATTGCTTGGTTTGTTAATTGGTCGCTGGGTCGATTGGTTGACTGGATGGCGGGTTGACTGATTGCTCCTCTCCCTCGCTGAAGCATACAGCCGCAAGCAGAGAACTACCAGCCAACACTATCTCTCACCTTTCACACGCCTCTGCCTCCCTTATTCCTTACCCTGGCACTCATACTCTCTCTCTCTCTCTCTACACATCTGTGTGTGTGTGTGTGTGTGTGTGTGTGTATGTGTGGCTGGCTGTGCGATTGAGTGAGTGTGTGTGTGTATTCGAATTCGCCGCCACCCCAGTCGTCGCGCCGGTCGGGCCTGACAGAGAAACTCGCTCGTCGTTCCTGAATATCGTGCGTTCAGCCGCAGCAGGTCGCCTGTTCGATCATCGATCATGCCTCATAAAAATAAAGCACGCCACAGAACGACCAAGACAGGAAGATTTCCCGCTGCTTCCTTCCAGAACGATGCTAATGAGCCCAGCAAACGTCCCTCGCGCCCCGTCGGCAGCATACACGCCGCACGCCGCTCGCCGCCCGTCGAATAGCAAGACCAAGACCAAAACCTTCCGCGGTAGGTTGAGATCGCGCCAAGAGCTGGAGACTATTCATTGAAGCGATAGCTTGCCACGAAGCCGTGGGAGCTCGGAAGTCTGCCTCCCATCAGTCAGAGGATTGCTTGCGCGCAGGTGGAAGCCGGAATAACGAAGCCCTCCGGAAGGACCACGGAGAAGGTAGGGGAAGGTCGCCTGGCCGTCTCCTGTACACCGCAGAGGGAGAAACTGGGGATAGGGGCGGAATTCAGATGACGAAGGCCAGTGGCCCGCTAAAGTGGGTCTGCAGGCCCCCACAGCTAACGCGAGGCCCTCAGGCGCTCCCAACCAATCCTGACATGGCCCCTCAAGTTCTCATTGCAAATTGTCTACCGCGTGGGCACGGGGAACGCAGCCCTAAGGTAGCCAAATCAATGAGACTAAGAGCTAACACAAGAG